TGCTCACTATGGTAACAGAAGTAGTCTTGAAGCAGTTTAGTCATGTAACATCATCGTCTTGTGTACACTGGTGCAAATGTTTCCTAATCTACAACATTCTGAAAGAGGTGCACTAATATACTGGTTGCATTTTGGATTGGCAGCAATAACAGTAAAATTAACATTATTGGCAGTCAGCTCTTTTTGGCTGATAATGTCACCAATAAATGCTGTGTGCATCCACAGCATGCACGCAACCAGGAATGCAGCCCAGCAGCTTGAAGAGTGTCCTGCCAGTAAGTCCAGTGGGGAAGGAGTGTGGGGGAGGGAAGGGACATGGGTGGGGGGGCAGATAGAGGTTCCTATGCTGAGGCAGGAGCTGGGGCAAGGGCAGGTGCTGCCTAGCCAGGGCAGTGAATAGCATCCTGGGGGCAGGAGCAGGACAGAGACATAAGCAGCTTATCCAGAGGGTGCAGGAGGGGTGGGGAGAGGTACAGCTCCCTGTAACTGCATGCACCCCTGGGGGAAGGTATGGGGGGCATGTACCCCCCTGGATTTGTGTGTGGGGGGGCAGAGGTAGGCTGCCTGCTGTTGGCTTAGGGCTAGGGGCTGTGCCAGCCTCTTCCTGGCTGGTGGGCTGGGTCGGGGCTGCACTCAGGGCAGGTGGGGTGGGCTCAGCTGCGTGGGGCAGGTGTTGACAGTGGCACTGGGAGGGGTAGCCATGTGGGGGGGCTACAGGGAATTTTGGGTTGGCCATTGCCCACCAAGCCCCCCCTTAGTTCTGCCCCTGCCTGGGGCACTTTGCTCTGCTGTCTTTCCCTCGGGAGCCCTGGTGCCCGGAGCAAAGACGGCACTAGGGAGGGGCTTGGGGGGCTATGACCACCCCAAAATTCCCTGTAGCCCCCTTGTAGCCACCCCCTCAGTGCTGCTACTGCCTGAGCTGGCCCAGCCCGTTTGCTGGGAAGGGGCTGCTGCATCCCCTGGCCCCAAGCCGGCAGCAGGCAGCCTGCCCTCACTCTATGCACATGCCCTCCATGCCTCCCACAAAGTTGTGTGCAGCAGTGGGGAGCTGCCCCCCTCCCCAGCCCCTTCCCTTGTGGCCCCTGGATAAGCTGCCCATGGCTCTGTCCCACTCCTGGCTCTGGGATCTTATTCACTGGCCTGGGTGAGCAGTGCCTGGATACAGGTAAATCTGTGGGGAGGAGGGGTTGGAAGACCAGGACTTGGGAACTGTCCTGGTGGTAGACTGGTGGGTGTATGAGGGGGCGGGTGCCTGTTGGTGCTGTGGGACGTTATCTGGGCAGTGGCAGGGCAGATCGGAGGCACCTGCCCTTCCAGTGGGAGAAGTGGGGGGGGGGGCTTTGAGGGCAGCAAGGAGCTCTATAGCCAGGCTGGAAGCCCCAGGACCTGGTTCCTGTGCTTGCAGGGACAGGGTGGCCAGGGGCTGCTGCCCAGGGGTGAGGGGCATGGCCAGGCCACTTGGCACAGCACTGGGGCCTGAGCCTAGGCATTCTCTCCTCTTCCCTCCAGCCTGTGCCAGACGCTCTGGCCCAGTTGGGACGGGGGTAGCTGGGGGCCCCCTCTGGCAGGGCTGTGGGGGAGGGGCCTGTGTCTTGGGGGAAGGAGTGCAGGGTACTGGCAGTGCCAGGGGCCTGCGGGTTGGGAGTGAGGGGCATCAGCATGGCCTGGGGGGTGGGGGAAATGGCTTGGGAGTGAGGGGCACCAGCAGGGCTGGGTGTCTGTGGGTCAGGAGTGAGAAGCAGCAGCAGGGACAGGGTGCTGCAGGTTATGACTGAGGCGCACTAGCAGGACCCGGGAGTTGTGGGTTGGCTGTGAGGTGTTGCCCCAACAGGTGTCCTCTTTTTATTTTTTGGAACTGGAAATATGGTAAACCTAATCTGAATACCAACACTAAAAGTGTACAGGTATCTCAGTTCTTTGATACAAAGTTCTAACATTCAGTAGTGACTTCTATAATGGTGGTTGTTCTACAGTTCTTTTCTCTTTTTTTTTTAAATAATATTTCCAAAGATTTTTATTTTACATAGTGGCTTAATGAAGACCTTTTACTGTAAAAAAGAAAAATGAAATGGTAACTATGAAAGACTGCCTTTTGAAATACAGAAAGGCACAATATGTAATCTGAAAAAACATGTATTCATAGTATTGGTAACATATTTTTTTTTCTCCCCTCAGTGCTTCTAACTTTTATCTTGTATTCTTTCTGTTCCAGTTACCTCTTACATAAAGAAGTGTGTAAGATTGTATGCACTATATTTAAGATGGCATTTGACAATAATTTGATTGATACTGTACTCATTTCATAGTTATCAAGTTCCCAACCAGCCAACAGATGCCACTATGAAATAACTTGCATTTAGCAGAAGTGACAGCTGGTGTCAGTCTTAAACAGGCATAGATGATTGAATGGGGATAGAGATAAGAGATTGAAAGCAGCTTTAAAAGTCTTCATTACTCCTGTTTGCTGCACCTTTTTGTGGATGAAGAGAGGATATAGTTGATGATCAGTTATACACAGCCCACAAAAAAGTCCCTTGGGATCAGTTGCAGTGACTAATCCATGGCTCAGGGTATAGTGATCTAAAAGAGATGCTAGTCTACTCAAAATATTTCTCAGCTATCTTGAACCTAATTAGGTTTGTGAATTTTAGTTTTTGTGCACCCACTTTTGCAGAAGGTGCAGCACTACCCTATAAATTGTAGTATCCTATTTACTTGGATCCAAAATGAAGGTCCCCTCATAGGTGGCAGAAGGTTGGGGCTAACAGGGCTCAGCACCACCTGCCTGCTGTCCTGCATTTGGGCCACAAGGCAGCCTGGCTGCAGGCTCCAGGCAGCTGCAGCAGGGGTGGGGTGGGGTGCGCATGCAGCCAGGATCACAGCGTGGTATGTGGATGACTAGCAGGCCAGCGTGGCAGGCAAGTATCAGTCTGTCTGTTCTGTGAAGGGGAAGGGGCTTCAGGGTGGGGGCAGATTGAGGCCCCAGCAGTGAGGGAGGGAGTTGGGCATAGGCAGGGGCTGGGGTGAATAGGGCTGTCTGAGCCAGGTGCTGGGATAATCTGAGCCCGGGCAGCTTGTCCAGGGGCACAAGGGGCTCCTGCTGTTTGTGCAGTGTGCGCATCCCAGCAGAGGCTGAGGGGGCACATGCAGCTTGGACCTGCTGCAGCTGCCCTGGGAGCAATGTGATTTGATGTACCCACTGTTGCTGGGCTGTACCATGCCCCCTGCTGCCTGGCAGTGGGATGCATGTGGTGTTGTGCCACTGCCTCTGACCTGCACACAGATCGGACAGGCACATGCCCCCTGGGCCTCTGCTGGGGTGTATACAATGGCAGGAGCCCC